TCACACGCATATATATATATATATATATATATATATATATATATATATATATATATATATATATATATATATATATATATATATATATATATATATATATATACACCTAGTGAGCCAGACAAACCTACCTAGGTTTCACCTAAACGGATCGTCAGGGAAAGTTTATATATATATATATATATACAAACACACGCATATATATATATATATATATATATATATATATATATATATATATATATATATATATATATATATATATATATATATATATATATATATATATATAAAAAGAAAAGAACAGTAAGATATATAATCCGGTGTTCTTATAGATATTTTTATTTTACAAAATAGTGCTCAATGTTAGAACTGTGTAGCGGAAAAACCATACTTTAAAACAATTAATTTTAATATATATATATATATATATATATATATATATATATATATATATATATATACACACATGTATATATATATTGGTTTTCTATTTTTGAATATTACCAAACTTATCACATACACACACACACACACACACACACACACACACATATATATATATATATAATCTTATAAATATAACTATGTATACTCGTCCGGAAAAACCTTAAAAACGCTGGTTACTAGAATAGGTTTGGTTTTCTTCTTTCTTTTTTTTTCTTTTTTTCTGTTATTGAATGCATTTACCCCCTCCCGTTGTTGCTTTACTGTTTCTTTCTTTCTTTTTTCTTTTTTTCTGTTATTGAATGCATTTACCCCCTCCCGTTGTTGCTTTACTGTTTCTTTCTTTCTTTTTTCTTTTTTTTCTGTTATTGAATGCATTTACCCCCTCCCGTTGTTGCTTTACTGTTTCTTTCTTTTATTTATTTATTTATTTTTGTCACATCGTCATGTTTTTATGTTGTATAGGCTAATTATATTCTGTTCTAATGTTACCTCTTTGGCCAGCGTACCCTGAAGATCCACGGAGGTGAAACCTAGGTAGGTTTCACTGGCTCTTTAGATTCATAGTTATATATATATATATATATATATATATATATATATATATATATATATATATATATATATATATGAAGAAAAATATACAGAAAAAAAAAACAAACAAAAATTTAATATGCAATTATGCTGTATTAATGTTAATATAAAGTCAACGTCGGACGTTTTGGTCTATTTTAGACCATCATCAGGACATATTCATAAAACATAATTAACATTAGAACATATAAAATTCAACATGAAAAGACGATGGACATAAGAGCACAACTAATCCAAACAGATAACTGAAATTTTTATATAAGATCAGCGTTCCGTTTAAATATGATCACGTCGTCGTCACGTGGGCGATGTTGTAAAAACGTATATAAAGACAGAAAGAGAGGAATTGAGTTAAACAAATATATTAACAGAAACTAATACAACATACAAACGAGAGTGTTACAACAGGAAAGTTCAGTCCGATTGTCACAGCTGACTGCTGGAATCTTCCCTCTCCAAAAAGGCAGTAACTGCTCCTATTTATAGCTGGGAGAATCCATGCGTGCGTAGATAAATTACCATGATAGATAGATAGATAGATAGATAGATAGATAGATAGATAGATAGTGTTGTTGTCTTGTTAGAGCCAGAAATAAAGACACAAGAGAGGAACTGAGTTAAACAAATATATTAACAGAAACAGTAATACAAACATATACAAACGAGAGTGTTACAGCAAGAATGTTCGGTCCGACTGGCAGAGTTGACTGCTAGAAACTTTCTTCTCCAAAAGTACCTGCTCCTATTTATAGCTGGGAGAAAAATTACCATAACATCCGGAAAACTTACAGACGCCACCTCATAAATGAACTTTGAGTGTTATATTCACCAAGCCTTCTTTTCTCATTATTTTCTCATTTTCTTAGTAATTCATATTCTATTTGAAACATACTCACATCTCTTACATGCTCTCAATTGTGTGTATGTCAGTGTATAGATTAAACGTCTGGTGTTGTGAGTTTTTAATAGTGTGTAGATATTTTAATATTTATTTCCGTTTCAGCTGTTAAGTAAAATATTGTTTAAATTTTATTGTGCATTTTAAGAAAAGAAATCTAATGTTTCTCGTGATAGTCGTAGAGTATAAGGTGTAAAATCACATCTGGAATTGGCATCGTGTGAAGACTTCGATTTTAACATGAATTTATGCAATATCTTTAAAACTCATCTTTAACACATGTCAGTGAAATTCGATCATTTTTTTTCTCAAATGCGCAACAGAAACAGTAATACAAGCATATACAAACGAGAGTGTTACAGCAAGAATGTTTGGTCTAACTGTCAGAGCTGTTACCTTTATTTTTATTGCACTGGTTTTCACAATAAACATTTACTTATTTTATCCAGTGTGTTTGTCAAGTGTATATTCCTATTAACACGGAATATAACAATTACGAATCACGAAATATATAGCAAGAGCTCCTGACGAGAAAAGACAAAGGGAAACTATGTTGCGACAGTGGGAAAGTGTTTAGAATCGAAAAACGAGATCAGGACCATTGCCATATGACTGACAGATTCTTTATTGGATTCTATCAAGGGTCTCTAAATATATAGCAGGAGCAATATGTGTGGTAGCCATATTGTAAGCATGGATAAATGGTACAAATTTAAACCGCCTTTCTTACCACCTCCTGTTATGTATAGAAAGCAACGGCAATCAGTAACCCTATAATTTGAGTGGCTCTTAAGCCTTGTATCTTGCATAATAAGACTAAATTCGTAAAAGGCTGACTTCAGTGATATTTCAAGAATGTAAAAACTGGGTCAGCATTCTAAACTCTAACCTTTGAAATCTGAATAATCTGACACTGGATCCACGAAGGTCGGACATTATTTGTGCTTTAATTTCGTGATCATTAGGTATGTGGGGGGGGATTTCGATCACTGTATTTTGATGAGTATTTCGTGGCAATGCTTGGCCGATTGATTTGAGGAAAGTAGATATAAATTCGCTATTGATAAGAAAGAAACAGAGAGGAGGGGCTGATACCGTAAATAAAATTACTGATGTTAAAATATGATTTCCAATTAAATTAGAGTTGATATATGTGAATATACAGAGATAGATAGATAGATAGATAGATAGAGAGAGAGAGAGATCGTATTTTGTATAAAATATCTAGCTATCTCAACCTGTTTATACTTACCTGCACATATGCACACACGCATACACACACACACACATACACACACTCTCTCTCTCTATCTCTCTCTCTCTTTCTCTCTCTCTCTCTCTCATAACCATTTGCCATTATCAAGGATAATTTTATTTTTACCTATAACTCTAGATAGATACATTGAGTTAAAAGATGAAATAAGCATAGAAACTGCGCATATCTATATATCTATCTGCCTCTGTTTATATACATACATACATACATATATATATATATATATATATATATATATATATATATATATATATATATATATATATATATATATTACAATAAACGTGCAATCAATTTACAAATACATGAATTATTCACACAAAACTAATGCAAAGGTTAATGATTTAAATGGCGAGACATCTATTATATACCTGAAGATGTCTGTAGGAACAGACGAAAGCTTGTAGTAAAAATAACAACTAATACGGCAGAAATTTATATAAACAAGGATCAATTCATTCATAACGGATCTGGAGGTTTTGTGTACTATTTGAATTGTTTGCGATGATGGATGTCTCGCCATTTAAATCATTAACCTTTGCATTAGTTTTGTGTGAATAATTCATGTATTTGTAAATTGATTGCACGTTTATTGTAATTTAAATAACTGATCCATGTGCGACTTTTTAGATAATAAGTGCGACATTACTGTAATTATTGAACAATATAGTTCATGCCACTTTGACAGTAAAATTTACCAGTAAAAATTTGTTCATCACCATATTTGGTATAAACGCAAACACTTTAAAAATTTTAAATCAAACTCAGCGTTGCTTTGGCGCGTTCCAAAACCAATAACTCATTTTCAATAGCATTTCGGATACAATAACACATATATTTTCGATGTCCTCTTATTACTAAGAGAAAAAACAAGAACAACATCTATTCTATACCTGAAGATGTCTGTAGGAACAGACGAAAGCTTGTAGTAAAAAATAACAACTAATACGGCAGAAATTTATATAAACAAGGATCAATTCATTCATAACGGATCTGGAGGTTTTTGTGTACTATTTGAATTGTTTGCGATGATGGATGTCTCGCCATTTAAATCATTAACCTTTGCATTAGTTTTGTGTGAATAATTCATGTATATATATATATATATATATATATAATTTAAATAACTGACATAGAAGTTAACAATAAGAGGCGACATTCTGTTTATTGAACAATATAGTTCATGCCTCTTCTATATTCACTTTTTCATATTTGCACAAACGCAAACACTCTGATAAATTTAAAAATTATCCCATTGCTATAGCACATCTTAAGACTATATTTCTTTTCATATATATATATATATATATATATATATATATATATATATATATATATATAACATTATTTATTCGAAAATTATAACATAAATATGTTATAAAATCACTACAAAATAGCCATTTTGTTTCAAACAAGGATAGTGTCTTATCAAATGATGATGTTGAATGTTCGTCATGAAGAAAAATGTAAGCTTTCCATTTCATTCTTGTGATAAGGTTTTCTGTTTGTAGAATTAAATGAACGAAATAATCCCTTTTGTTCGTGATGGGAATGTTCTTATGTAACATATTTATGTTATAATTTTCGAATAAATAATTGTATTTCCTCTAGTCTTTATTGAGCACTCTTTTAAGAATGGTATTTGTTGGTTATTGAAATTTATTCTGTATACAAAATAGCCAATCCTATACTTGGGTGTATATATATATATATATATATATATATATATATATATATATATATATGTTAATGTACTGCATTTTGATTATCGCTATTACTCTCTATATCTCATATCATATGATTAGATAGATAATGAACTTCGATCATGAAGTAAGTGAGATAGATAGATAGATAATGAACTGAGATAATGAAGTGAGATAGATAGATAGATAGATAGATAGATAGATAGATAGATAGATAATGAACAGTGATAATGAAGTGAGATAGATAGATAGATAGATAGATAGATAGATAGATAGATAGATAGATATGAACAGATTGAGATAGATAGATAGATAGATATGATAGATAGATAGATAGATAGATAATGAATTGAGATAATGAAGGAGATGGATATATATATATATATATATATATATATATATATATATAGATAGATAGATAGATAGATAGATAGATAATGAACTGAGATAATGAAGTAAGATATATAGATAGATAGATAAATAGATAGATAGATAATGAACTGAGATAATGAAGGAGATAGATAGATAGATAGATAGATAGATAGATAATGAAGTGAGATAATGAAGTAAGATAGATAGATAGATAGATAGATAGATAGATAATGAAGTGAGATAATGAAGTAAGATAGATAGATAGATAGATAGATAGATAGATAGATAGATAGATAATGTAGTGAGATAATGAAGTGAGATAGATAGATAGATAGATAGATAGATAGATAGATAGATAATCAACTGAGATAGAAAAGAAAAGAGGTAGTTAGGGGAGATATTCAGAATAGTCCCATAATGACCTCGCTAGTGTTCTCAACTCCTGTCTCCTGATTTTTCTCGGCATTTAATCAAATTCGTATTTAAAGAATAAAAACGCTCGACTTCTACGATTTTATTTACAAATTCCTTCGAAGCGAAAGCCTGCTGAATATTCGCTTCGAATCGATTGAATGTAAAATTGATTTTTTTTTCTTTTCTTGCTTTCCGCTTTCAGCACTTAGGTCATGCTGACCTTTCAGGAATGTGATCTCAACGAAACAGGTGGAATTTGCAAAATTCTATTCCATCTCTTTAAGACAATCTGGAAATTTCTGAATCGACCATTTTTATTTTTTTATTTTTTTTTTATTTTTTTAATTAAGTTAAAAGTTGGGACAAGTAAGCTAAATGAAACATTTTACTTACGTCAATGCTTTTGTTTATTGACATTTAATTAGAAGTAAATTGCTGATTAAATTCAAATAAACATCATTTCGTTAGTTCGCCGCTTAGAACAATGAGGTCTTCGAGTGCGTTCGCGAGAAATTGGCATCGATTTCTTCGGGCCTGATCAAGGCACTGTCATCATTGTCACCATCAATAGTATCTTTGTCGTAACCAACCGAGGAAATTGATTCCGAGTAATTTTTTTCTAAAGTTACGGAAATTCTTCCTTTATCAATTACTAAAAGAAAATTATATCCAATGCTGGAAATGGGCCTCAGTGTTTTTGGTATGCACACAATTTGAAGCTATTAACAAGTATTATCGACCATTCGTCTTTGCCTTTCTTTCTTTATCTCTATCTCTCTCTCTCTCTCCCTCTCTCTCCTTATTTATCTCTATCTCTCTCTTAGGCAATCCATATCTATCTATCTATCTATCTATCTATCTATCTATCTATCTATCTCTCAGCCTGTTCGTATCTATCTATCTATCTATCTATCTATCTATCTATCTATCTATCTATCTATCCCAGTCTTTGAATATGTATCTATCTCGGTCTTTCAGTACCTATCTATTTATTATCTATCTACCGATAGATCTATCTATCTACATATATATACATATATATATATATATATATATATATATATATATATATATATATATATATATATATCAATTGCACATAACTATCTATCTCCATTTTTCCATATCTATCTTCATCTATCTCTCTCTATATATATATATATATATATATATTTCAGTCAGTTATCATCTGTCGATATGAGTCTATATTTATAAATTTTAAACTGATATATATTCCTATTCATTTCAATCTGTTCTCGTACTATCTCTGTATCTTTTCATATCTATCTACCTACCTATCTATCAGTATTTATATTTATAAAATGGCGACAATTTACTCATCTCACCTGATATATACGTATATATATATATATATATATATAGGTGGCCACTTGTATATAATTTTTTCTGGTATTTCATCAAGTGATGGTGTTGAATAGATAGATAGATAGATAGATAGATAGATAGATAGATAGATAGATAGATAGATAGATAGATAGATAGATAAATTCAACACCATCACTTGATAAGACACCAGAAGCGTTGAAACAAAATGGCTATTTTTGTAATGATTTTATAACATGTTTATGTTATAATTTTAGAAGAAATTATACTTGCTCTACTCTGTATTGAGCACTCTCTTAACAATAACATTTTTAGTTATTGGAATTTATTCCGTATACACCAATCTCATACTTATATATATATATATATATATATATATATATATATATATATATATATATACAATCGACACTGTCAGAACTGACTGCTGGAAACTTTCCTCTCCAAAAGGCAATACCTGCTCCTATTTATAGCTGGAGAGTCCATTCTTGCGTGGGTAACATTACACACATACACACACACACACACACACATATACATATATATATATATATATATATATATATATATATATATATATATATATGTTAGATTTTTGTTATTATTTATTTATAAATATAAAGATAAAGATAAAAACTATGGCCTTTAAATGCTGATTTTCTAAGCATGCATTCCATATACATTTGGAAGATTGGTGCTACACATTCATCCTATTTCTCTTTCCTCACCTTTGAGTTCGTATTATTCAAATTTAAATATAAAAAAATTAAAACCCTTATGCATACATATATTTTTCTAATCATTTCACTCCCGAGAAAGACAATAAAGCCACTACGACGCAAGGGGATTAGAAAGTGTTAGAGAATATGAAAAAAAAGACATTATTAAGAAGAGAACATTAAATAATAATAATTAAGAAAACTAAGATAGCAACTGACGTTGCATTTAAATTTTTAAAGATCAAAGTTGACTGTGAAGCAAGAAGCTGGAAGAGAGTTCCACGGGTGAGACGTGCGAGAGAAGAAACTGTTAGCATAGAACTTACGGTTGAATCTAGCTATTGCAACTGTAAAATGATGAAAACTTGCTGCCAATCTAGTACTGTGCTTAAATTCTCTTCAGCGCAATTATCATGAAAGTGTTTTTTCCGAAAAGTCACAAGGAAACTACGTTAAGGTGGTGGGAAAGTGACTGAAGCCGAAATGCCAGATCACAACCAATAACATTGCAGATTCTTCTTTGGATTTTATCAAGAATCTCTAAATATATACCAGGAATACCAAATCAGATGTGGCAGCAATATTTTAAGCAAGGAAGAATGGTAGGCTTATAAATATTTAAAATCGAGAAAATCTGTCTAGATCGACACAGTGAACCAATTTTCCTCGTTGCAGTCCGAGCAATTATAACTGCTGATTTTCTTGGTATCAAAACCTTTCTTTTAGAAAATTTGACCGACGTAATTACTGACATCTCTGTCGTATCAAACGAACGTTAGGATCACCATTAAGTAACGTCCCTTGTTCGTTCCAGGAGGTAAGCATGATTCCCGATAAACAATCAGATGTCGAGCAATGTGAATGAAGAATCATGCTTCGAAAAAAAAAAAAAATGGCGATGGTTCAAAAAAAAATGGAATGGAATTGTCAGTGTCGTTCCATATTCGTGATGAACAGACGGAAAACAACTGGTTCTTCTCAGGAAACGAACCGAAGAAATGTGCAAAAAGATTTAATACATTTTTTAAAAAATGCTGAAAGTGTAATCTAATCATATTTATCATCAGGATATATATATATATATATATATATCTTACTTATTATAAAACGCAGATTGTGTGTGTGTGTGTGTGTGTGTGTGTGTGTGTGTGTGTGTGCGTGTGTGTGTGTGTGTGTGCGTGCGTTTATATATTTGGATCGGATTTCCTACATTTTTCCACCGATTTCAACAAAACTTCACAGGACTGCGTAAAATTACGTTGCGGTGGTTCTGACGGAACCAAAAATTGGAAAAACACAATTGTTTTTGCACAAAATCAATTTGAAAACACGATAAAACACGTTTCTGTCGCCAGAATGAAAGGGGAACAACTCATATCGAGTTATACTTATTATAAAACCAAGGCTTTGTGTGTGTGTGTGTGTGTGTGTGTGTGTGTGTGTGTGTGTGTGTGTGTGTGTGTGTGTGTGTGTGTGTGTGTGCGTGTGCGTGTGTTCATTTATATATGGGATCGGATTTCCTACATTTTTCAACCGATTTCAACAAAACTTCACTTTTTTTTGACAGGTAGTGTTTCTTATTGTCTTGAACACTTTTTTCTTTATTTTTACATTCAGAATGCTTTAAAAATTCCATTTACAAGCCAATTGTTTAAAATAAAATTCTATTCAATCGATAGACTCATAACGATTGAAAACAATGTTTTTGGTTAAGTTTGGGTTTGACCAATTCGTTAAAAAAAAAACTAATTAAGGCATGCGTGTCCGTCAACCTTAAACAATAATCTTTGTCAATTTTATTTTTTAGTCTTCATGATGGTCGATACTTGATCTATCTCATTGTTACATCCCCGGCAAGGCCGGGCTCTACTACTAGTATATATATATATATATATATATATATATATATATATATATATAAATATACATAAATATACAGGTCAAAAGTTTGAGACTATCTCCAGAATTAGCATGGGATGAACTTGACAGAAGACTGAAAAAAATGAAAATGTGATCTAAAGACTTTGACAAAAAATGTATTCAATTATCAAACATATATACTTTTTTAAGCATGTACAATTTTCTCTTAGTTGAAATACAAAAAGCACTTTTGGGCCCAATTTAAAAAATTACTAAGGGTTTCCTCAAACTTTTGAACTGCAGCATATATATATATATATATATATATATATATATATATATATATAAAAAACTATACCAAATTACTTGATGTGGGTATAAATCTATTACCGCCAATGCTAGGTACGTTGCTCTTATTCAACCCCCACGTTCCTTGAACCTGTATCATATACAGAACTGTCATATAGTCTTAAAATAACTGTCGGACTTTGTCCATTTCATAATGTGTAACGTCATTTGCTTACATTTGGATACGCATCGAGAAGATATGAATGTACGAGAAAATATCATGGAGAATAAAACCGACCTTGCTAACCGAAACCTTCCTCTGTGGCTAAATCGGTTAAGGCACGTCAGGCTATATGACGGTTCCGTATAGGATACAGATTCGATTCCTGTCAGAGGACGCATATTTTCTATGAAAATTTCTCGGACATCTTGTTTAATACTGTTTATTATAAACAGAGCATTTACTTAAATATTTGTATCTATAAAAAAACGTATAAACATAAAAAATGTCTGAAAATAATTGTCGGAATTTGTCCATTTCATAATGCACACACATATATATATACATATATTTTCATAATGCACACACACATATATATACATATATATATATATGTGTGTGTGTGTGTGTGTGTGTGTGTGTGCGCACATGTTATAAATATGCATGTTGATCAAGCATAGGTAAGTGCAAATGCCCAGATAGGTCAAAACTGTGTGGATACATAAATCGACACTGCTTGGGGACTGGGAGGTTCTTGCCTTCATTGCTTTTTTGGCCATCGATATAATGGGATGGTGAAAAGTTTTCGGCCAAAACTACTTCCCCAAATAGCTTATGGCTGTATCACGTTGAAACATTCGTTCTCGTACGATCACCGAAGTTAAGCAACGTCGAGCCCACTGACTTCAACTTTTACAAGCATCTCGACATATATCTTTTTTTAACTCCAGAAGACATTCCTTTGCGTAGTCGAAGCAGAAACAGTATAGAATATTTTCTTGGCATCAAAACCTTTTATAGTGAAAGCATAAATAAACTTGTAACAAAATCCAAAGAAGCACCTATATTATTAGTCCTGATCTGGTGGCTCGGCTTCAGTTATTTTCCCGCCACTGTAAGGCTGCCGCTCTGTGTCATTTTTATAAATACTTTTATGGTAATTGTTCGCTCTTCGCTATTGTACCTAGAGTTTTTGAATTTAAGCACAATCCTAGACTGGCGTTTATATCTCATCAATTTACAATTAAACTGGCTAGATGTAGCCGTAAGTTCTATGCTAACACTTTCTTTTCTCGCACTTCTCGCTTGTGGAACTCCCTTCCGGCTCCATGCTTTCCAGTCTACTTTAATCTGCAAAAGTTTAAATGCAATGTCAATCGCTATCTACTGTACTCCTGCTTACTCTTCTAAAAGTCTCGTATCACAAGTCGGCAAAGTCTCGTATCACAAGTCGGCAAAGTCTCGTATCACAAGTCGGCAAAGTCTCGTATCACAAGTCGGCAAAGTCTCGTATCACAAGTCGGCAAAGTCTCGTATCACAAGTCGGTGGGCCTCTACAGATTTATCCTGGCAACATACGGCCGAGTATTGTCCTGAAGCAGAAATGGGACGCGACGATTAACCAGAGCCGGTCGCATTTCATCCACTTGCTGGCTGTAAACTACAGCAGTGATGCTCTGGTTAGATTCCAGAAACCTGTAATCGATAACGCCAATGGCGGATCACCAGACAGTCACCATAATCTTCTGTTGGTGCAATTTTAGGTTTCGAAAGTGTTTGAAACCTTCGTCATGATCATGCCATTGAGCCGATCGTTTACGACTGTCATAAAGGATCAATTTCTCATCACAAGTCACGAAATGGATCATTCGAATTTCGTAGATGCTGCATCGAACACTTTTCAAAACGTCGATTTCTTTGGATTTTACTTTCACTTTCACTTTCATGTAGAACCTATTTATCGAGTTTCTTTACTTTGTCAATTTTCTTGAAATGATCCGATATTGTTGAAATGCTGACACCCATCATTATCTGAGATATTTCTCTGTCACTTTCTCTGTGAAAAAACGCGGGTTTTCTTCAATTAGAGTTTTCAGGTGTTATTTGTCAAATTGCAGATTGACGTCTT